GAGCTAAAACCCACTTATGGTAAAGATGGAGCTAGGGCTTTGGTCAAAAGTGAGGTTAGGAAGGAAATTCCTGAGGCGAAATTCTCCGATAATGCTTTAAAAAAAAGAATGGAAAGAGCCCGAAAGATGTTTAAAATTTTCAATAGTATAGGCAAAGAAAAAATAACACAGGTAAAATCTATCTCTCTGGGTTTCATTCTGAATCTTACTGTAGATGATACCGATTATGTAATTGCTGAAGTTTTAAAAGGGTCAGGAAGTGTGTAATACTGCGCCACATTCTACTGCGCCCTGGTGACATGGTGTCCCGCCTCGGCAATTAGAAAAATAGTGTTTTTTTTTGCAGTTGTACGATATTTTCAAAAATATATTATTAAAACATTTAATAAAAGTTTTACCTATGTCCCACGTGTGTTAACGATAACCTGTGACATGTGTCAACTAGAAAAAATAAACATTACTTGATCATTAAATAAATAAACCTGCTGCCTAGTGACATGTGTTAGAATTTATTTCAAATAAAATTTATCTGAGGCTTATCGTTATGCATAACTTATTTGTGAGATGGGGCACAATCTCAAAGTGCAATTTTCATTTTTCTGGAATTAGTAACTAACCAAAGTTGGTCAATTAACTCATGCCACATCTATTCTTCATTTTGTGAATTCACTCGGGACCACAAAGTGCTACACATTACAGGTTTGTATGTATAATAAAAATTTTTAGCCATGTATAGATTATTTTTTCTGTTAATAAACAAATGAAAAAAAATCATATCGAAAAGTGGCATATCTTTAGAGAGTGGAAGCACGGGTGTAAGGTTTGTGATGAATGCAATCATCATTCACACCTGTATTGCAAAACATGCAAAAAAGTAGCGAATGGAATATATAAGCGATGTGAATGTGATAACATGTTAGAATAAATTTCACATATGTATAAATTTATCTGTATCACCTTCGTTATGCATAACTTATTTGTGAGACGGGGCACAAGTAGAAATCGCCATTTTTTTATTTTTCAGGAATTAGTACCCTAACCAAAGTCGGTCAATTAACTCATGCCACATCTATTCTTCATTTTGTGGAGAATTTACTCCGGACCACAAAGTGCCACACATTACAGGTTTATTATAATAAATTTTAGCCACGTATATATATTATTTTTTTCTGTTAATATATAACGATAAAATATATACTCGCGAATAAAAAAAAAAATATATCATATCTTTAGAGGGTGGAAACACGGGTGTAAGGTTTGTGACATTAAAACATATATACACTCTATATAAAATACCTCATATAATACACCAAACACTATATAATATACCGGGGCATAAATCAAATTTTTATTGCGTGGAATGTAAAATACTGAATATTTTACATGGTAAATTATGGTTCTGATTTTGTTGAAGAAACCCGCCATTTTTACCTGCATTTTTTGTCAAAAAAAAGTTCAACATAAACTAAACTCGTTTTATTCTAAGTTCAATCAACATAAAACGAATTCGGTTTATGTTAAGCTCAAGAGAAGTTCATATTGCTAGTATAATCGCTTATAATCGAAAGATGTAATCAGGAAAATATTTACCACAGTGTAAGCAAGTTAACCTTGTTTTTGAATAAGACTACTTAGTTGAAGGTAAAAGCAAAGCATGTGAGAAAAATAATAAATACAGAAATAAGAGATTTATATGTACCTTTCTTTGGTTACACAAAAAGTGATGATCACATCAAATAAACGTTCAAAAATTCATATACAGTAAACATAAACTTAGATGAAAAAAATAATATACAGTAAACATAAACTTAGATGAAAAAAATAATGTCCACGCAATCAACATCCATTCTCATGGCTTTCTATCATGTTACAGCGATTGAGGACTGGACTTGTGCTAATATTACGAATTATTATCAAGAAAAAACGGGGGAAAAAGAAAGGAAGAAAGTACTTGATTACATAAAAAAAGATATCGGAAAAATATTAAATTCTGATGTTGATTTCGATATATTGCGTAAAAATAAAGCACAAAAAATTCTTGATAATTGGAAGGTAATGTACTATTGGAATAGTTAAGGGGCTTATTCTGAAACAGCCATGAACTCTTTGTTCGACGCTTCGTGCAAGCTGGGACTCTTTGTCGCCAGTGATGAACTCTTTGTTCGACACTTAGTGCAAGCTGGGACTCCTTGTCTGAAAGGAATTTAGCCTTCGAACAGTTATGAACTCTTTGTTCGACGCTTAGTGCAAGCTGGACTCTTTGTCTACAGTGATGAGCTTTTAGTTCGACACTTCGCGCAAGCTGTTATTTTTATATCTGGAAGTTTTCGCTATTGTGAAATTTCTTATTACTAATTCCGAACCTTATTCGCAAAGAATTGGTCTTCACCAAAGAGTTCAGATTCAGATCTAGATTCGCATACATGTGTGAAAATTGGACATTTACAGGTGAGTTCCTATTCTGAAATTTTATAAGACAAAAATATTGAATAGTATTTCATCAATTAGATAGATCGGCTTGCAACTGATTCTGCGACTCAAGTCAACAATAATGATTGTAAAGATGTAAGAATAGTTATTAACTTTAAGTTAATAACACCACACGATCACATACTTTTGTCTAACGATTATTTTAAATATAGATAAATTTTGCATGCGATATTACGAAGGGAACTGAAGACGGTGTGAGAAATATTAATACGGAGGTAGTACACGATTGTTTATATGTAATTTTGTTAAAGCTATTTGGCAAAAAAAAGTGATAACATCAAATGTATTTACAGAAAAAGGAAGTACCAATTGTATATATCCAACCAAAAAATTTAAAAAGAAAGTGGGATGCCGATAAAGAAAATTTGGAATTAAATGGAGGTTCAAATAACAACAATATAAAATCAACGGATTTGGAAGATTTGGAGCTTAATAATGATATAAATATTGGAGAAAATGAAATTTCGGATTTTTATCCGCTAAGTGATGAAGAATCAGATATCAATGAGGTAGAATCTGGTAGTGAGTCTCCCGTACAAAAATATCCGAATGTAGATAGTCCGAAAGATGATTGGCTCTTACCTTCAGGAAAATCAGTAAGAAGTATAATCTATGGACAAAAGAATCTTCACAAATCACAGTAAGTTGTAGATTTAGATTTTCTTTTATCTCACCTTCCAATTTCATATATACAATTGTTATTGTTTATACTTTAGTCCGTCACATTTTGGAATAATACGTATTGGTGCCAAAGTTCGTAAGCCCGAATGGATAGAGGATAAAGATTGGAACTATTTGACTTCAAGTGTCGAATTCCCACACTTTAAATTGTCATCTAACACAGAAGAATTACTAAAGTTACTTTTAGATACTGTGAGTGTAACTCGATATTGTGATTTTTTTAAATAAAAATTTTATTAACAATTTTTAATGATAGGACTCTTTAACCGAATATAAGAAAGTCATTCGTGAAGCAAAATATAAAAATGATATCGATGCAGAAATGGAATTTGTTACAGATGTTCTTTGGTGGTTGTAAGTGTCCTAATAGTAATTCATTAGAATTAATCTCAGATATTTTATTTATTTAATATTTATTGATTAATTTTGAAGTACCAATAATATATTTAATACCGCATCTGCTTTTCACGGTATACATAAAAACGAGGCGCTTTTAGGATCATCAATGATTCACCCAATATTACAGTACCTCATGAATACAACCGACCGTATTACATATATTCCGTATGTTAATCTAGAATTATATTTGATTACATTTCATTTTCTTGAAAGCATTAAACCCCCTTTTTTCAAACAAATAAACTAGTGGTGAAGTTTATCTAAAAGCAAATGCTAATCAAAGATTATTGAGGCGTAATTTAAAATCTGAAGACGACAAACCTTTAGGTATGAAGGTGGACGGTATATTTCATACCCCAGGAAATAAAGGACTTGAAATTGGAATGGTTGAGTTATCAGGTGGTTATTTGACTTCGGACATGCCTCGATATGTAAAAGACCATGTTAAAGGTTGTTGGGGGTGTCGTGATATTCTAAATGATATTGTGAAAAAATACAATCGCGGAGATTATAAAATTTTGAGAAAGTTACGTACATGGTTCTTTCACATACATGGTAAGTTGATAGATAAACTCGGTATTTTAATTTATAAGGCAAATAAATTATTTTTTTATTTATGCATACAGGACAAGAGGTACAGGTGTGGGGAATGGATCTGCCCGTTTCAAAAGTTTATAGAATGTTTTTAATTGGTACATTCTATTTGCCAATTAATTGGGATGAACATTATGAATTGGTGCATGCATTAAGAATTTTATGTAATTTGGGAGTAAGTAAAATTTGAATGCGTCCCTTATATTAAAAAAGCCCTATTCTGATTATTTTTTTTGCAGAGAGGCTTAGATAACTCCTTTAAGCTACTCGAAGAATTTAAAAAATCACATCGTCGCAATACCGCATTGCATTCACGGTCGTCGATATTGAAAGACTATGTTAGTAATGTAAACGAGAGTTCACCATTGAATCCAACCGGTAAAAGAGCTCGAACAATAAATCCTCATTCTCTTACACCTAATGATCATGGTGATAGTAATGATAACGATCCACCTTCACCGTCTCCATCGGGGTATTCTGGATACTCTCGCCCATTGACTAATTAAATATAAAATAAAGTTTTATTTACCAACTCGGTAGAAATTGTGTATATATTGGGATTTATATTCTGTAGTATCCTTGTGATGTAGCCATTGAATACTTTGTGATTACTTATTTATATGAATAATTGAGAAATATAAAATAGCTTATGTATAGGAAAGATCATTAAAGTATTCTATAATTGTAGTCATTATTAAATTGCATGATCTGCAATGTTTTTATTATGCACTTTATTTTTTGTTTTTACCGCATCAATAAAGCTGGCCCTGGTGGCTGATTTCGCATACATAATCGCGTTTACTTTTGCATGTGTATTTCGTGAATTTATCAAAAAAATAATATGTATCACGGG